TAATATAATTATGCCAGTAATTAAATGTAAAGATTAAAATTCATCTGTCACAGAACTGGCTTACGGTCCATTTACTACACATAACTTCCACAACAAAGTTTTGTTCTGACACTGCTTTGGGTTCCTCTGTTCATGCTTGTGCCAGCTTTTTTGCCTGACTGTACTTCAGAAATTCTGCTGGCATAATTACATAGCACTTATCAAGAGAAAGAGGGGTTTCTACTAGGACTGTTATATTCCCTTCACAAACAACATTAACTAGGCTGACAAAGGAATTCTTCTGGCTGTATAGTTGCATCTACATTGGTCATTTTGTGCTGGCACAGCTTTTTTTTTTCTACTCACTAAAGCAACTGACCTACACTGTCAAGTCTTATAGTAGAGGCTTGGTCTGAGTCCTTTCCAATTCTCTAAAGCTATTTACAGAAAAAAAAATAAAACAAAGAAAAAGTCCCTTAAAAATCACCTCATCACAACAATCCTAAAAAATTGTGAGATCAGTGTGCATACAGAAACAGCACCACTTTTTCTTCCCAGAAGTTACTGCACTTCAAGAAACAGCATTCTTACAGTCAGTTATCTCCTAAAAAAGTGTTAAAACTTCTTGAAATGGTTATTTTCAGAAATCCATCTTTTAAGTGTATGTTTTAACTGTATAGCTGGGAGGAGATAAGCTGTTCTAGGAATAGGGTCACACTGCTAATAAACAAAAGGAAAGGGTTATTAAAGGATTCATCGTGATCATTAACTTTTACAAGCTGCACAGAACAATGCTCTTTTTAGACCCAATATTGTTTAATGTCCTTTGGGCACAGTGCAAAATCAAGAACAATGTGGATGTTGCCTGTTTGTTTCCCCACATTTTAATTAGACCACCACTGCTTTGGAAAGAGTGATGTTGCTGGTGCTACATCTGGTATTTCCAAAAAAAGATTAAAGAACAAAACAAGAGAAAAATGTTCCTTAAAAGTAGTAATTAAAATAGCAATAATATAAACATTGTCAACTATATCTCAGTTTCTGTATCCCTTGCTACGTTCAAAGTTTACTTAGCTAGGAACTACATTATGGAAAAGACTGAGTACATAGCACAGAAAAGCAGTATTAGGAGACTGTAAACCCTTTGGTGAAAGAAGATACCTTTTTATTTGTCTGACATTCCACATGTGCCAACATAGTTATGTAACTACTAAGGACAATGCAGAAAACAAGAATTGTGCAAGCAAGTTTGGATTAAGCTAATACTTGTTAGAATGCCAGAGACATTTTTATGTCAGTGCCATGTTTTTTACAGAACGCAGAATGCTTTTTTTCTTAATTTCTTAATGTAAGCACGTACATTTTGTGTTGGAAAAATCCTCTCCCACATGCTTCTATTTTAGTGACTTTGCAGATGGACAAAACTAAAACTAATCAGTGGTACAATGCCAACAGGAGTAATGGAGTTTCAGCAAAAACAAATGTGCATTAGCACCTATGAGTGACATTAAGTGCTTGGCAGACACTAAAGTCTAACAGAAATTTTTCTTCTGATAATTGCAATCCAATTCTGTAGCCATTCAGTGTTTGTGGACAAGTTTTACAATTACTTTATTTCAATTTCCCATGTACTGCACCAGAGTGCCAATATATGCTCTCTTTCAAGACAGGAGGGAAATTGTAATTGATTTAGCCATCCCTAATCCAGAATAATTCCCCATGCGAATTGTCTGCTCTGGAATAAAAATACTGGCACAGAGTAATTCTGGAGTGATTAGTCTTATTTAGAAACAAGCTCACTATTTCATTCTCACAATTTAATAATGAAGTAATTATTTTCTGGAACAATGTTAGCATGTTAACTGGCTATAGAGGAACAGCTTTAAAAATTCCATGACATTGTTATTCCTGCTTCCTAACAATAACACCATTTTGCTTTAGTCATTACCAAAACTAAAATCTTAATGGATCTCTACTAGACAAAATGCTCCATCAACTGGACTTCTGGAGAACTAAGAAGGTTAAAATAAAGCACATGAGAATCCCACATGGAACTAGCTCTCTATTCCCACCTCCTGGGATACAGACAGATAGCATGTAAAACTTTCTATATGAGAAGTCAATGTTGTGAAACTTACCAGATGTATAAGGTAGGAGACCTGGCCTAGAGATGTTACGGAATCCAACAGTGGACGTGGCAGCTCTGGGCTTCTCCATGTCAGGAAGTCACTGCAATAAGAAAGAGTATGAATAAACAGCATGTTACATACCTTTCATTAACACCCTGTATTGGTATTTCAGTGCTAAGTTCAACGTTTTCATTATCTTACAAAAACATTCTTTATTAACAGTCTAGAAAAATTATGAGGTACATCTGAATTCTGTTTGACAAGGACTCAGAATCACAGAATTGTAGAATCATAGAATCATTTAGGTTGGAAAAGATGTTGAAGATCAAGTCCAACCATTAACCCAGGACTGCCAAGCGCACCACTAAACTGTGTCCCTAAACACGACTTCTACATGTCTTTTAAATACCTCCAGGGTTGGTGACTCTACCACTTCCCTGGGCAGCCTGTTCCATTGCCCAACAACCCTTTTGGTGAAGAAATTTTCCTGATATCCAATCTAAATCTTCCCTGGTGGAACTTGAGGCTGTTTCCTCTTTTCCCATCACTTGTTACCAGGGAGATGAGACCAACCCTCACCTCACTACAACCTCCTGTCAGGTAGTTGTAAGAGAGTGGTAAGGTCTCCCCTGAGTCTCCTTCATGCTCAACACCCCCAGCTCCCTCAGCCATTCCTCATCAGACTTGTACTCCCAAGACCCTTCACCAGTTTTGTTCCCTTCTTTGGACAGGCTCCAGCACCTCCATGTCTTTCTTGTAGTGAGGGGTCCAGAACTGAGCACAATATTCAAGGTGCAGCTTCACCAATGCCGAGTACAGGGGGACAGTAACTTCCCTGGTCCTGCTGGCCACACTGTTTCCGATACCTTGTGCATCTGTGTTAGTCTGTAAGCCCTATTTTAAATGGTAGCCATCTTTTTGCATTTTTTTCTTCTATATCAAGCTACAAAACTGACAATTTGATGATATTCAGAATTGCAAATTCTCTGTTACTTGTCTCCTGCTAGAACAACACTTGCTTACAGCCAGCCTCCTGAGGATCTGGCACTTAAAAGTTATCACTGTTGCTCAGTCAGCTCAGCACCTCAGCCCCTGAGATTCTCAACTTTGTCTCAGGTCACAGGGAGAAAAAATATCCTGTTTCCATTTATCACTTCCAGAGAATCTATGCATCTTATGCTTGTAATATTTACTCTTCACATCCAACAGATTTATAGGTGAAACAAATTTACTCTAATGAAACCAAAGGTTAATTTTCTAATCAAAATGTTGCTAATCAACATGAAAGCATAAGAACAGTTGAACAGAGTTCTGGATTGTACTGAACGGGATTTATTTTTAGCCGCTTCAGTATCTTAACTGACATGATGCCTGCTCCCAACAATCCTTACATCCTTCCAAAACCATGCAGTCTCTGCCTCTTTTGAAAATAGATTCCCTCCTGTCTCTAACCTTTCCAGTTCTAACTCAGTCACTGTAATCATCATTAAAGTGATCTCATTTTTCCCTTCCTTGGATGCGTGTTCTTTGCTCAGCACATTCCTTCCACATTAAGCAATGTTTCTGCTATTTACATTTTTGACTGTCATAAGGTTTATTAACTACATATAGATTTGTCACAACGTGCATACCTAAACCCCTTTGTTTATTTTGAGCTTTGATAGCAAAAAACCCCCACACATAACAAACAGTTTTGACAAACTACTACCTAAACCACCCCCTCTCTACTGCTCACCAGTTTCTCAGCTCATAGTATCAGAACTATGGAAGGATGGGGACCTGTCAGAGCGAGTCCAGAGGACGCCACGAAGATGCTTAGTGGTCTGGAGTACCTCTGCCCTGGAGACAGGCTGAGAGAGCTGGGCTTGTTCAGCCTGGAGAAGAGAGGGTTCTGGGGAGACCTTAGAGCAGCTTCCAGTGCCTAAAGGGGCTACAAGAGATGTGGAGGGGGACTTTTTACAATGCCCTGTAGGGACAGGACAAGGGACAATGACTTTAAACTGCCAGAGGGGAGATTTAGATTAGACATTAGGAAAAAATTCTTCACTATGAGTGTGTTGAAGCATTGGCACAGGCTGTCCAGAGAAGCTGGAGCTGCTCCATCTCTGGTAGTGTTAAAGGCCAGGCTGGACAGGGCTTTGAGCAACCTGGTCTTATGAAAGGTGTCCCTGCCCATGGTGGGGGGATTGGAACTGGATGATCTGTAAGGTCCATTCCAACCCACACAATTCTGTGATTCTATGAAGAAATTCTAAGGAGTAAACTGTGATGACTGTGCATTCAAAGAGAGGCACCTTGAATAAGGAACTAGCTAGCACCTAACTTACAGATCGTTTAGATCTTTAAACAGGCTAACTGTGTATATATATGTATATATATATATATATATATATATATACAGCTGAGAACTCTGAGCCTCCAGGTAAAGTCACCTGAAAAAAAGGGATGGCACTTGTGATAAAGACCTTTCAGTCTTTTTTAATACAGCTATACGAGCAGGAGAAAGAAACTTGTTATGTTGTGTGCACATAAAAAAGTGAGACATACATGACTACTTTGGAAAACAATAAGCTGGGTATGTGAAGCATTTGAGAGGTAAGGAGATGGACATAGAGGATTATAAATCGATATTTTGGTGTAAGGATCCATATATTTATTTTGCTATTTAAAATAAAACCAATTAATTTTAGCCCTTTCTGAATACTGCAGTACGTGCCTTAACTGGTCCAAAAGAAAGGTTTTAATTCTAAACTGGAGACCTCAAAAAGAAGAATTCAGCTGAGATGTACTCATTCACCAACCCATAATGAAATATGCTAAATTTGCAAGCTTCTTTGCAAGCTTGGAGCAATTCTACAGCTGGACTATGGAAAACAGTTTATGCTATGGTGCTACATAACCAAAGACGACATTTATTTGAATCTCTTTCAATCAAATATCTTAAAATACATTAATGTAAACCACAAATACAGCAATAATGTGAATGTCCAGCAGAGGGAGAGTAACAGGTCAGAAACACCATTTGTAAATAGCAGCGTTGGAACAAACAAACCAGCAAAAAGACTTTTCCAGGTCAAGATATCTTAGTTTGGATTATACCTGGTCTTGTGCAAATATAAAAGCCTCTTTATAATAAACTTATACTTCCAGTAACACCAGCAAACCTTAGGATAGACTTGGCTCCTGAAAAAGGCATCATGCTGAAACTGTGTTTTTTATTCTCTAGTGCTCAGCTGCATCTCCACAGGCTACCTGGAAAGAGAATTTGCCAGAGTTTAAGAATATTAATTTATAATCTCCTGGCACCTAATCAATCTTAAAATAGTTCAGTACTTTCAGTTCTGTGTCAGGCCTCATGAATATTATGAAAGGTATTTAGAAAAATTCTTGCACAGTTTTGCTTCAGGAGATATGTATCACATGTACTTAGGTACAGCCTTAATTCAACTTTTCCACAAAAACTTCCTGATTTCACTCCACCTGCTTCTTCAAAGTAATGCTAAACTTGACGTTTAAATGTCTTTTGAGACTCTTTGTTCACATTAGTCTCAGATAAAGAGCAATGCTTCTAGAACAGCACTTTCACAGCTGAGCAGTTTCCTGTATTTTTCTTTTAATAATTTACCTTGTAACTCTTGTATTTTCTTCCTCCTAGGTAAATAACTGGTTCTTTTAGCTTTGTTTTTAAAGACTCACTCTGACTTCAAAGCAATTCTAAATATCAAGGTTACTCAAGTGCATAACTAATATACATATTTGAATACCTTTAAATTTCAGGGCATGGCTCCCAGTGCGTCACTTGAATTTCAGCTTGCTGCCACATCAGAAAGGGAAGTCTTATTCCTTCCCTGCTCCTCCCAATCTCAGCCAAACACTTCCCATTTTGCAGCAGTTCAGGAGCTTATCTGATCTCAAGGCAAACTGAGTCAATTCATTCGTAATCAAGGCCAGGTTGGACAGGGCTTTGAGCAACCTGCTCTAGTGGAAGGTGTCCCTGCACGTGGCAGGGGGTTGGAACTGGATGAGTTTTAAGGTTCCTTCCAACCCAAAACATTCTGAGTCTATGTAACTCAGCACCCTAAAACCATTCTCTTTCCCCCTCAGACTGCCGCTATTTTATGGAGTTTAATAAGCTTACCTGTTTGTTGGTGGTGAGCTGTTAATTTTTGAACATGTTAACATTTTGAAACCTCTCAGTGAAATACATCTTTCTTCTTCTGCATCAGGTCACCTAACTAAACCATTGATATTTCATAGGTGTTATCTGTTAGGGTGTAAAGTGCTTGTGAGAACCTTGGAAGAAAGTTAGTATTGAAGTACAAAATGCTATATCCTAATGTCATGTGAAGGAGCACCTCCATTTCACTGCTACAGGACTGACTTTTCACAGGCTGCAAACTAGTTGTGAAGCTACCTTGAGATAGCTTAATATACGAATATGTTGCTCTCTCTCTAAATGAAGTCTTGTTCCTCATTCTTACTTTATACAAGCTCTGACATTTGTCAAACACCTCTTAAGGGTTGATTCATCTCAGTAACCCAGGAGGAAAAAGAAAGTGAATTGTTCTGTAGCTATATTTAATGCGATAGACTGACTCAGCAAAGGGTCTAACAAGAGCTAGAAGGCAGCGGGAGGACAGGCAGAACTGCACAAGGTCAGGTAGAACTGACAGGAGACAGTTTCTCTGCAACCCAGTCCCCACAGGTTAACCCTGAGGTGGTTCAATCACTTCTTTCCTAAGTAGTGCTTTGATAATTAAAGTCAGTCATGATGTGATGATGGATTTATATGGGTGGTTCTTAATAGGAAAAGCTTTTTAATTTTTATTAAATTAAGAGATAGTATATTTATTATAAACATTTTGATGAAGAAGAGATTTAAACAAGAGAAGCTTTTATAATGCTTTAAAACCTCAAGAGAACATAACCATTTACATTCCAGTAGGTATTTTGTGAAGTAATTTACCATGATTCCACTTCAGTTTTGTTTTGAGTGCCAGCTGTTCCTAAGTGGAAACACAAACTACAAGCCCTGCTAAAAATTTAGCATTTGAGTTTACACAATTCCTGGCAGCCTGCAAAACAGGTTTGTGCACTCCAAAGGACATCTGGCGTCTTCTGAAATTATTTGTGGACTAATTGTTTATATCCTAGCAAGTACCTAGGGAGTAAGTACCTGTCAAGGAAAGAAGGAATGCTGGGTAACACAAGTAATTTTTTCCCCTTGAAATGAGTGGTAACACACAGTTCAATACCTCTGACCAAATGCATGTTTGGGCCCACTCCCTGCATACACATCCCAAAAAAAGAAAAAAGTATTATCCTGACTGAGTACTTTAAGAGCTGGCAGAATGAAGCTCCATTTCAAAAACCTTCAGGAACTGTTTTTAAGTGATGCCAAAGTGTATGGAAGAATTCCTGCCTACATGTTCTGTGTGCTGGTAATCTTAAAGTAAGTCTTAATTGCTCTGGAAATCTACTACCTGCCTCCAGTTAAGCCTTTCCTGACTTGTAGGCCGTGTCAAGGCTCAAACAAAAAATGAACTTGCAATACAGCGTTGCAGTCATTATAAACCTGAGCTATTAAATGCTCATAATGCTGGTAAAAAGTGTAGAATAGCTATCCACTCTGTCAGCAGAATTCATGATGCTTGGTTTCCACTGGATTTTTATCTATTATTCAGCAGTAGTAACCCATGAGCTCCTTTGTTCCAAATCGTGTTACCTTGTTTCCATACTAAATGAAATGTATCAGATGCCTAGGGTTTAATAAATGTCACCTAATAGCAAAGGTTAGTATTAAAAAAAAAAAGAAGAAACAAAATACCCCAAACAAACTAAAAACCTATATTGAGGTGTTCTGATGTGTTTCTTACGATACTAGCTGCTAAGGAAACATATTTCTTACTCCTGTAGCTTTACATCTATTCTTCCACTATTCTCCTGGTAAGAAGGGATCATATCCTATTCATGCTTTATCCCAGCCCTCAGAGGGACTGCATATGATTATTATTATTTTTATTATGATCACCACACACATCTGAGAAACTTACCTGTAATTTAACAAAATTCTAAATATTACACAGGTTAATTGTACTTCCTTAATTGTACTCAACTTTGAACAGCAGAGGCCCTAGCAATGTGTGTCTTAAATCAGAGAATGCACCAGGGAATGACCACAGAGTGGTTTTCACAAGGTCTTTACAATTCATTCTTTAGGCTCTGGTGAGCATAAGCTCTTGGTGCTTCAAGGAGACTTCCACTAGCAGAGGTGCAGAGTCTTTCACTTGTCAATATATTTTTTTCTTTCAAAAGTAATTATCTGTGGTGTTGGTAAGGATATATATATTTTAAATTTACTTTAATAAATGCTGCCATGTGCACTAGTGTTTTCTCTGAATGTGATCAGTTGGACACACATTTTTCCATTAACATGTGAGCATTACCAGCCACGTGGAGTTTTTTGCTTGTCAAGGGCGTACATGTTTCTGCTGGTGTGCAGCCAGAAACCATCGCACTCTTGTGTCAGGATGATGTTACGTAAGTGCCACTTTGGGAAAGTTTGTGTAGTTGTCCAGCCAAAACTGCACTGGATTTTGTGCTGAATGGAGATCTTTACATTCCAGTTCTAAGCCCATCTGTTTTCAAAACAACTCCGTAAACCTGCCTCACAGTGTTCTAATGTAAATAAGCTGCAAATGACTCAGTCCTCACATGTGAGCACTCCAAGGAACTCCCTTCTGCCAAGCACTCACTTCATTTAGTTAAAATCACTTTAATACTGAGCCTTACAAGATGAAGTGCTGCCACAGCCTCGTGCAGCCTACTAACCAAAATGTGCTTGCTTCCCCTCTGTTCCTCTCCAACTCCTCCAAATATACATAACTTCAACGATGTGGGGGTTTGGTGGTTTGGGATTTTTAAGGTGTATCAGTCTTACCACTCAAGGGCCTCAGTACTTGACAGGCCCTACTGAATTTGGTTTAACTGGATTGTTTTAAAACTAATAATAACCAAGTCAAACTGTGCTGTAAAATTGCCAAAATTGGTTAACGCGTCATGACAACTTACAGCTGGACATAGAGAAATGTTCGCTCGCCCCTCACGTGAGACAAATGTGCTCACAGATCTTCCTTTGGAGGTGTGCTGCCCCAGCGCAGGTGCCATCGCTGCACCGTCACTGTGCCCCTATGCTTTCCAGGACTCGGTAAGTGCAACTTTGCATAGATAAAAGCTGGAATACGCACGTCTTCAGTGGCTGAGTCCTTATGGAGGCGGGAAATCCCGTGCGGTGACACCCCCGCCGGGCCCGCCCGAGACGGGTTCATCGCTCCCGGGAGGCAACGTCCCATGACTGCAGCCCGTCCCCTTCTTGTGTGGGCTAAGGGAACGGGGAGCAGCCCCCCGGCGAACTGCGCTTCCCAGAGACCTGCGGGACACGACACAAACGTCCCTTGAGGTAGCGCTGGCGCCCGGCCTCCTGGGACGGGTAGTTCTTGTCCCGCCTCAGGCGTTCGCGCCAACTACATGTCCCGTCTTCCCCCGCCTCGAAACTGGAGGCGGAAGTGGCAGGAGCGGCAGGCGAGCGCGAAGGCTGACAGGAATTGTAGTTCCTCCATGCGCCGAAAATGCAGAGAACTACAATTCCCGTCTCTTCCGGGGAGGCGGGATAAGGCGAGCTTGCGCAAGGCACGATGGGTATTGTAGTTCCCCATGCCGGGCCTCAGACGTGTTGCTGGAGGAGGCCTCGGAGAGCTAAAAACTACTAAGATGGCGGCGGGGATGCTGAGGGGAGGGGGCTACGGGAGCCCCGGGAGGCCACACTGCTCTCGCGTCGGGGTGGTGGAGTACACGCGGAATCGCCGGAGCGAGTGCTGAGTCGGTGCCGCCGCCGGCTTCCCCCTCGCCCCGGACGCTGGGAGACGCTTCGGGGCCGCAGAGGCTTGTGGGGTAGCCACAAAATGGAGGCGAACGGGAGCGGCAGCGGGAGCAGCAGCGACTCGGCTCCCGACTGCTGGGATCAGGCGGACATCGAGCCGGGCAGCGGCGCTGGCCCGGGGTCCGCCCTGCCGGCTGCGGAGGCCGAGGCCCAGCAAGAGCTGCTCGGGGCGGCCTTCAGCCGGCAGCTGAACGTCAACGCCAAGCCCTTCGTGCCCAATGTCCATGCCGCCGAGTTCGTGCCGTCCTTCCTCAGGGGCGGCCCGGCGCCCGGCCTGCCGCCACCCTCACCCCCGCCTGGCCTGCCGCCGCCGCCGCCCCACGGTAGCTGCCGCGCCGGGACGGGTGGGCGCTGAGGGCGGAGGGATGGGGGCCATGTTGGAAGGGCGCGGGGCCGTGCTGCGAAGGGGCCCGGACGGAGGGCTGCTGCGCCCCACAGGGCAGGAGTTGAAGGACCACGCGGGGCTGGTGCGCGGCGCGGAGGGCCTCCGGCGGGCGGGGGAGCCGGGCCGGCCTGGGAAGCGGCCCGGCGACCGGGTGGGTCAGGCTGGAGGGGTGCGGGCGGTGCGGCAGCGTTGGAGTGGGGCTTGAGGGGCCGAGGGGTGAACCGGCCCGGGGGTGGGGGAGAGGCCCGACCCAGTGGTTGGGGCGCCGGGTGCTAACGGCAGCAGGAGGTTCTCCCCAGTGAGGGGCGAGGGCAGGTGCAGATGGGGAGCCGCCGAGGAGGCCTTTTTACAGGAGAGGGGTCTGGGGGAAGGGGCTTAAGGCAGCGAACTCCAGGCAGAGGAGCCTGTAGGGCATAGGTGAGGGGTTGGTTGCAGCGTCTGATGCAGCCCTGAGAGCTGGGGGGCCTTGGGAGGGGGTCTGCAGGCCGCTGTGGTACAGCTGGCCAGGGTGGGGAGGCTCTGTGGGATGTGCCCTGGGAGGCCAACCCGTGGCACCGGGACTGTGCTCTAGGAGCAGCAGGAACTGGTGTGGTCTGTCTGTCCACGGATCCTGCGTACGTTTCTGTGGTACCTTTACTCGCAAAGGGTCGCCCATGACGAGAGGAAGCCATGTAGTCCTCTTCTTCCTAAGGCGCTAGAGAAGTTGTTGAAGACTTTGGCGGTGATAAATTTAGTGTTTCTGGGGAGAACAGCACTGCTTCAGCCACTAGTGGGTCAGATGTATCTTAAATGTCTTTTTGAAGATTACAGCAAGTAGTTTTGGGGTTGATTTTTTTCTAATACAGTGCTGATAAAGGATTAGTAGGTCAGGGAGGTTTGTCCAGCTGGCCCTTCAATGGAATAACTTGAAATTTACCCTACTTTTAATTTCAAAGGATCTTTGTACACAAAGCCAGTGTTTATATTCTATTTGCTTTGCATATGGGAAATTAAAGGAGAGCTACTTTTTCATTTCCAGTTCCAAACTGAAGGTCCTTCCAAACATCAGACATGCAAGTTAACTTTGGGGTAGTATTTTAACGTCGCTCCTGCAGCTAAGGAGTTTGAGGCCTGGTTGAGTATGATAGTTTAACAGCTTTCTATTTGCCTCTATAGTTTTCTGTATTCCTATTGGTACAACAGAAAACAAGCTAGTATTTCACGTATGGATTCTAGTAATTTAATTTCACTAAAGTGACTACTTGTTACATTATGTTTGTCATGATTTCCTGTTGATTGTGGCTTATTATTTATTGCATTCTGATTTAATATATTAATTAGTCTCTCCCTAATACCTAAGTTATCCGGTGTTAATAGCTAAAATCTATGACTTTCATATATGAAGCTTTAAAATTTTCATAGCAGAATATTAACCTTTTTTTGTGTTAGAGTAAATATTAGATTATTATTTTTATCAGAAATTGTCGCTCATGTGTTATGCAGGCAGGACATGTGTTAAAATATACTTTCAAGAAGCCATGGGCAGACTCCTGTCTTCCATTTAGAACAGATGTATGTGTTAAGGTTCATGGGTGTAAAGGGAGAGAGCTTGAGGCTGGGCTGAACCTGTGATGAACTTTTAAATAATCTTCAAAATCCATTCTGTTTTTCAGCCATTGGAACCTGAATCCAAGGGAGATTTATAACTATGTAATCAATACTATGATTGAAAACTTTCTTGGGGTTTTGAATATTACTAGAATAACTTTGTTTTTTTTTTTCTCCCTGACTACTTTTGTAAGATTTCTCTT